GTGCAAACGGTGAAGATGAATGGCTAACACATTTTCATTATGAAAATACCATGGCTATTAAGGAATTTCCAGGCTTACAGAGCACAATAAAAATTTTTAAAAACCCAGTTAATGTGTACCTTTGATGTCCAAATATTAAGTAATATTTTCTGCATACTGGGCCATTTGGCTACTGCACACTTCAGAAAGCATTAGAGAAAGTGAGTTCATATTTAAAAAATCTGTTCCACTGACTTTTCTCAAGCAAATTTCTCCATGGCCATTATAGTTCATACCACGCTTCACTTCTTAAATACTATAAAATATGTAGGACTCATGATTTAATTGCCACAGGAAGTAGAATAATCTATATTAGCTGTGTTACAGGATTCCTACTGGGATTACAAAGTAAAGAATGATTGTTATTACAGGATATGACAGGGATAGACGACTGTGCTTTCTAGAAACCAGCATTAAAGTGACCACACAAGAGCAAAAAGGCACATTTCTTCTGAGTGCACTAAGCAGCTTTGATGAGGCCCTGACAATGTTACACTTCTGATCTTCAACAAGTGTGTAAAAATATAATTTACTGTTTTGTAGGTGTAAACATACATTTATTTGTGCAGCAGCACAACATTAAGTCCTCCCTTTCTTCATCTTCCATCCGTTTCAGTTGTCACAGAAACCTTGTGGACAGGAATATTTCCACCCAGGCATTTGAAATCACATGATCCTAGTTTTGAATGCAGCTGTCAATTAAATTTATGGGACTAAAAGAAGATGGTAGAGCCAGGGATGTTTAGAAGATAGGTATTTTCTTACTTATCAGCCCTTCAAACTCTGCTTGAGATATTAAGATGAAGTTGGGTTCTTTCCATCCTCTGCACCAGCAATAAGGATTCTGGAAGCCAAATTAGATATACAAGAACAATTTCACAACATTGGTATCCTCTGTGGGTGTGGCACAGGTACAACTGATCAGAGCTTAACAGACAATTCTGCTGATAACGTACCTAAAGGACTATAATCTTGTTTCCTTTAGCAGTACTGGCTCATGGAGGTGAGGAGGGATGGGAGACTAAAATCAGGGGGTTTAATCACTCAGGGAAAAGATGTGACATCAAAACACATCAGGATCAAATCTATTCACATCATTAAAAATATACATTTAACACGATTTTGCAGATTGCATTACCATTAAAAATTCAGTGGAAGGCAAATCTGCATTTATCATAATGGGGCACAGGAAACAAATGTCCCCAGTAAAAAGTAGGCTAAACACTCCATCTGTTAGAGGAAACAACTGCACTCACCCGGAGTAACGGGCTGGATCTCACAAGGAATCTTTCCCTGGAGATTTGAATTTAGTAGGCCAATTTTGAAACTAGAAACAAAAATCAGAGAAACAGAGACATCACCATACCATCAGGAAAGGTGTTTCCTTACCTGAGACACCCAAGTTCCAGTTGCAACTGTTCCAGTGACAATTAACTTTACGTCCTCAATGTGATTTTTATAATTTATCCATGAGAGCAATAATATTTATCCATCTAATACCTACTAGTGCTGCAGAGATGAATAAGAGAGTGCATGCACATACCTGAGTGCTGGGCATTGTAAGATTTATCAAACTAACATTCCTAAAAGCATAAGATAGTGGTAATAACATTAAAAAAAATTTAAAAACATAAGAAAAATACGTCCTATATATACAAAAAATAATTTTTGCTCTTAGGAACTGAGCAATCCTCATCCATGCTCTGCCATCCATGGCAATTCTTTTGGTATGTAAAAATCATGCTCAGCTTCAGTTTGTCCAACTGTAATGCTACATGGAACTTCTTTAGCACATGAAAAAACTAACTTTGAAAAACAGGGCTTTTCATGCCCCTGAATCCTTCTGATTTAGTCCCTCTCAAAGGGTCCAAAACACCACCTTCTGCTAAAGATCATGTTACTTGCTATAATCTTGAAGACTATGCAGATGTTTATAAAATCAAATTTAATTTCAGAAGTTTCTACAATTATAGGATTAGAAACTCACTCAGTCTACTGAATTGGAGAGAATTGCAGTGTTGTGGAAAAGCTCAGCTGATCCTAAACATCTCAAAACCATTTCAAAAGCACAATTCCCAAGTATCAAATCAAGACTCCCTCACGGTAACCTGCTAACAAAATGACATTTTATTTGTCCAAACTGTAACTTGTATTAAAATCAGTGGTTCAGTTTGGTTCACCTGAATGTCTGCAAATTGATGTGTTAATATTTAAACTGAGCAAGTCTTTTAGCACCAATTGTGACGGTAATTTCCATCTCTGCAAATATCTCTCATCCTACTCGTTTGAAAATAAAGAATGTTAAGCAACCAAAAGCAAGTTCCAAGTACCTGCAACTCGTAGATCAAGAAGTAAACTGATCTTTGGCAGGTTATCATCAAAAGAACTTTAACTCGACCTCAAGGAGACAATCCCACTGAAACTTAGCAATGAGTAATGACTGCAGGCAAACATAACTAACAGTGCATTTATGGCAAAAACAAGTCATGCTTTACCAAAATGGCTTATCCAACCTTCAAAATACGTAGGATTTATTATTTTGTTTACAGTTTATTGCTATTTTCAGACAAGTTTATCAAGTGCAAATTCACTAAAACTGAATTCAACTGAGTAAGTGAATAATAAAAATAATTAGGGGGAGAGAAAGACAAAAAAAGGACGTATGTAAAATTTAATGTTACCACAAGTAACTAGCATAAAATTTAGAAATTGCTCTGATGTAAAAATTTTGGAACATTTAGAAACACTACATTATTGTGAAATGTAAAGTTCTGATTCCTCTACAGGAGTACATGCAGAGAAGCTACTTTAACTTCCTTAACTTTTACACAGTTAATCTCAGTCAAACAATGAAAGAGCCTAATTTGCCTTCAACATGTGCTGATACAATATCACACGTTGCCTTGACTGCCACATTTGCTTAGATTTAACCTAATTATTAAGTTTTTATATAGATGTCTGTCTTTTTGCTGCTTGTTTTGATTCAACTATTTTTCTCTAGTGAATGCTCTTCAAAGACTTAAAGTCTCAGAAGCTTGTAAACACTCGTGTAATTTGTACCCTGCTGGGGCTGGCGGGGGTAATTTGTCAGTTTTATTTGCAGCAGGCTGTAAATAAACCTTGCCAGATGTAAATCATCTTTTTGTGGTAATATTTGCTCTTCGGTTGCAAATGAATCTCTTCCATTAGCTTAACACTCACATCTCAACCAAGTTAGAAGGTTCCAGAAAAATTCAGAAAACCCTCGAGTCACCTCCTGAAAGGTTTGTTGTGCAGTTTAGAAACTGCTTAAGTTAAGTTAATACTGAGAGAACAGAGGGAATGGTCTCTGTAGGTAAGTTTGGAGTGCAATCAGAACGTGTGAGTGCAACAGAAAAGCAGAGTGAAACCTCAGTATTGTCACCACCATGCAGTGACAATGGGGAAGCATGGGTGACAGCACAGCCTAAGTACATTTAAGAGCATGACTGTCTAAATATGAGTGCACTCTGCTAGAGCCTATTCCCAATAGGCCTTCCTGTATTTCCCCCTCCCACCACAGTGTTTGTTTCTTTATTTATCTAAATGAGACCATAAGAAATGTCCTGCTGGGCCAGAAGTTTGTTGTGTCTGGTGGCAATAGGAGATACTTTCTAGAAAAAGAATGTACAACCAGCTACTTTCTGTGGTCATTCCCATAAAATAATGGTTGCTGTCCAAACTCAGCTGGCTGAAAGGTACACAGGATCCCAAATCCATTCCTATCATAACAGCTCACTACTCAGGAAATATGGGGCACAAAAATCTATTCAGATTCAGCATCTTCCCGACACTCAAGGTGGCATATTCCAAATGAGTCCATGCAGGTGTTTCTATAATAGTGGCAGATATTTTCACAGTGATTTTCTCTCACATAATGGACATTATTTGTCCTAACACTGCTCAGTTCTACCTACTTAATTATAAATCTTGGCACAGCACCAAGTCATGCAAGAGACTGCCAAGAGGTAAAAAAGCTCCTTTATAAAGAACACTAAAACAATATAACGTTAATACAGATGGAGCTATCAAACAATCATTCCTCCTACAGAGTTGTCAACATATATAAAGTTGACAGTATATATATATGTAAAGCCTATAAAGACAGAATTTGAAACTATCTTTTCTAAGCTGTTAGTACAGTAAATTATTTTGCCTATAATTCAACTGCTGCCACTACAGAACCAAAGGCTCCTTTAGCCTTGCCTGGCCCGTTTCTGTGTGCTCTGGATTCCTTTACCTTGACTGAGCTACAGGTGTACTGAGTCCTCAGGTCCATTCCCATTTCCCTCTTCCCTGGTTCCAGTGAATCACACTGAAAGTGATCAAATGGAAAATAAATATTACAGTGTTAATTAAGAGGAGCTTGTCATAGAGAAGGTATGTGCAGTCTCAGGGTTCCGTTTCACATCACCAAATATTTTCTGAGATGGTCATCACCTGGGACAGCATTGTGTCACCTCACAAGCATGCAAACCAGTCTGATGTGATCCTTCTGTGCATTCCTGCATGTACAGGTGTCCCAACAGCTTTAAATCACGGCTGAGTTCAAGTCTGACAGAGATCTCTCAGGAAGTTGAGCAACCATGAGCTTCATTAACTACCAGACAGGAAGACGAGCTCGTTCAATGGCCTAGATTCAAGGAGTGACTGCTACAAACTACAAAACATATGCATGGGAGAGAAATCTTTTACAAGTCCCAACCCAGAAAAATTTTCAATAAGACTCCAAAACAAGGAGACTGACATCTGTAAAAACCAAAATCATAGGAAAAGCTCCGCAGACACAGGTGGGTCTGGAGCACAGAACACAATGGTTTTCTTATTGCTTCTCATTTTTTAAGAGTGTACAAACCAGGCCAGCAATTTTATGTAAGGAAATTAAAACCACCTACTTCGTACATTATTCCAAATGCCTGCAACATTTTTTCTTCTCAGCAGCCATGGAACTGAAAAAACAAAGGAGATGAAAGCTTATATTTGTTGTTGAACTAGCCCTGGCTTAGAAGTACCCTTGGGGTTTTCAGAGAACATCTGCACCAATTTCACAGAATTCTGACTGCATGCTGTGCACATGCAGTGGTTTTGCATGCATTAGGTAATAAAAAATGCATGGATAAATTGCAATCCATTGGGAGACAAAATACTGGGGGGCACAGGGACTGTGATGCAGTCCAAGGTATCCAGTGAGGCAATTCCCAAGTGTCCTGAGGTTTCCAGAAAAATTAATTCCCAATAAAAAAAAAAAAAGAAGCCCCTTTATTATGCACCTTGGAAGTATGGAAGAGCACATTGCTGATCTCTGTTGGATCTATATAGAAAATGCTCACCTACACAACAGGGTCTGCTTTGAGTTAGTTAAAAAAGGAAATTAAATACTGAGTTGTGATAGGTGAGATACTACTGGATGCTGAAGTCAGGCTAACACTTGGGCTTTCTTTCTTAAAGAAAAACTTCAAAAAAGAATTTTAAAAAAGTTAATGTTAATTGTCAATTTTTATATCTGCAAATGCACCATCCTTTCTCCTTTGTTTATGTTTTACTCATCTCCTTTTTTTATAATAATTGTGCTCAAATCAGCTGCCTGGCACTCATTTTTGTTCTAAAGAGAAAAGAGATGGGTCAGATTTTAAATAAGCTAAAAAAGATAGCACATGATGAAAAATAAAAATTTTTGCTGGATTGTCAAATAAAATTCTGGTAATTGTTAAATGCATACAGAGAAACTAAAATGTGTTTTAATTCCAACATTTTAATTGCTTTGGGATAGAGCCACTGCCTGCTCTGTAACTGCACAGTTGTATAACAGGCCCAAGACTGTATCAAGCAGCAAATACATTTGGGTGGTCTTGGGTGAGTTGGAACAGACTCACCACACAAACTGTTCTGTGCTGACCAAGAAGTGGCATTTCAAGAAAAATCATCTCCAAGCCTTTCCACATTTTAAATTGTAAGTTAAGGTCACACCAGGCAAAGGCTGAAACCCTGGGTATAGGTTAGATCTTCAATAACAGTAAAGTAATTTGTGCAGCTCCTCACAACACCCAAAGGAACAGCCCTTTCAACTGCAGGTTTTTGAGGTCTAAGAATGTGCAATATTGACCTGTGTGCTTTAATAAAATATGAATTTTTGAAATAAAAAAGTAATTTTGAATCTATTAGCTGTTTCTGTGCTAAAGTGTAATACAGTTTAAAGGTCAGTCTTCTAGAACTGATACATGGAATTACTAACACAGCTAAACTGAGTTTTCAGTACACTATTTTTACCAAATTACAAGATACCCTACAACTCATCAGTGATTTCTTTTTACTACCTTCAGGAGGAGTTTTACTAGATAAAACCTATGAAATGTTCATCAGCCAATAAAGGCTGGCTCCTTACATGTAGTAAGCTTTAAACCTTGAATTCAGCAAACAGATATCACTATGAATAAATAAAACATGATGTTTTTCTGTTGCCTTCTTTAACTTGATCTTGAATCAAAGCCTCACCATTCTTACCTCTGGACTGAACGAGTACTTGTTAGCAGTAACCTCAGCTACTTCAAGTGGTTTTTCCTGAACTTCTTTTTTTTTTTTTCCACTGGTTCCTAAAAAACAATAAACAAAACCAGGTAACCATATTTGAAATACTGCAGCAGGTCATAATTTTCTAAATGAAGTGGTGCAAATAAATTTTTCTACAGAGATGCAAACTGAAGCAAAAGTGTCTACACCAGTCTAGGGTAGAAAAACTTGGTTGGTCAGCAAGTGACTTTGGTGCACAAAGAGATTCTCATAGGAAGCTGACAAGCTTGCTGACAAGCTACTGTGCAAAGTGGATGCATGCTTTATAAATTGCTGTGCTTAAATGCCTAGAAATGCAACTCTTGGAAGGCTGTTGTACAGACTACTGTGTCTAACATAAAAAGAATATCCAATTTCCAAAACCAGGAATAGAAAATTACTTGTAACTGCTCTTCCCTGAAGATACACACTGTGATAGACCACTATTCTTGGGTCTGTGCTTTCACCCCCAGGGAAGGCACAGACCCATAAAAAGCCCTGAAGTCAGACACAAACACACTCTCAGAACTCCTTCAACTATCAGCTCATTCAAGGGGAAAAAAAGACACATTCCTGCCTATTAAAAAAAATTATATAGGTAGATTAACAGAAGACTTCAGATCACTCAGCAGTGTGTGGAATGCAGGTTGAAAGGACAGGAAGACAGTCATTCTTTCCAGCACCAGTTTTAGATCAAAGAGCTCATTCAGTGATTCCAAGCAATCCAAAGCTGGCCCTGGGCAGTTGTATCCATGTAGTCAGGGTAGAGCTGATGCACACCAAGTGCTGCCCAGCAGACTGGGAGCTGTGGATGAAACTCTTCCTATGCTGTGCAGCTTCTGCCCAACAGAGCAAAGCCCCAACTTCGCTCAAGTGTTCAAAACAGAAATTAAGAGCAGAGCACTTTGCTTGTTGGAATATTGACTTGAGAAGACATAAAATTCTTTCCAGATTTATGCTGCTATGTGGGATTTCAGCAGAACAAAGGTTCCAAGTGTAAGGAGCAATACCTTCACTCACTGGAGAATTGCAAACAACGTTATACTGGGATGACTGAGGCAGCCCACAAACAAGTGTATTAAATGTCTTTCTCTGTGAAAACAGGCTTTCTAAACTAGACTGAATTTTAGAAATGAGTTACCAGACAAAACACTTAAAAAAAAATCCAGCATAAAACCTTAAATATTTATAACTTCACTTGTGTACATCCAAGAGGCCAGCTGATCTATCCAAACCATAAATAATGCTAAAAGACAAATAATTATTTCCTCTGATCAGCCCTTCTAAATTTCAGAGTACTCTTGAAGGTAGAGAACTGTCAGATGGATGGAACAGAAGACTCTGCAGGTGAAACACCTTCAGAGAAGGTGGTTCAGAAGCAGATTGGTTGTGAAAATTGGAGAAGTTTTCATATTTTGGGCAATATTTAACTCGTATCAAGGCACAGTTTTGGAAAGTTCAGTGAAAAATCCAATACATTCTATATATTTGAACATCCCTTGATCTTCTTTCTCCTTTTCAGTTGCTATTTCCTTAGGGCTGTCTTCTCTGCAAGGCCTGTCTGTAATCCATAACACCAACCACCTCAGCACCATCCCAACAACACCAAAACCTGCCAACTTGTGTCAGCTTTCTCATCATCTGATACAGGGATAACATGCAGGGGACTTTTTTTTTTTTAATTGCACACATTGTCTGTATTTAAAGATAAAACTAGAAGATTTATCTGATTTGGACAGTCCAGGAACAGGTAATTTCCAGTCTGCTTTCCCTGACCACTGGTAAGGTCTGTAGCCATTTAACCTTATTCATTTTGAGTGTTTAATGTCACAGAGCACTGAAAAAAAAAAGTTCTCTCAGGTGCAACATCTCTCTGCATCCTCCCTGTGGCCATCAAGCTCTGCCAGTCCACGGGGAAAGGAAAAAGAGCTCCCTGCCCTTTGCACAGATGCTGAAGGAGGGAGGTGTCACATCCCCACCTCCACTCAGGCACTGATGATGTGATTCCATCACCCTCAGCACAGAGAACAGAAGGGAAGAGCTTCCTTTGCAACAACATTATCTTTCACTGCAATGGCATCTACTGAAAAGGTGCAATCTGAGCTTAAAACAGTAGTAATTAGAGCACAGTAGAGATCTCTCTTTTTAATTTGCAGTGCAGATATAAAACCAGAGAACATTACTAGTATGTCTAATTTGCTACATTCAGCAATATATCATCATGACAATCTCAACAATCTTTGGAGCTTGGAGGTTGGGATTTTTTTAATGTTTCCAACCTAAGAAGACTTTCATCATAGTTCATCTAATTTGCTTTAAGCCATCAAGAGGCCTGTTTCAATGATCATTTCCTGCTTTCATTATAGTGATGTTAAAAAAAAATAATCTCACACAACTCCACATGTAAGAAACAATAGGTTTTCCTAAAAAAATCATCAAGTAATACATGAAACATCATCATAAAGTGAGATTACACGAGGAAATGACCCAGAATTTTTCCAGGGAAATGATTACGGTCATTTTTCTCCAGCTGGCATGTGGCAGCTCCAGGTAGAAGGGAGGCAGCAATGCTGCAGAGTTACTGCAGCAGGTGGAGCTCGATGCCGCTGGATTGTCCAGGCTCCGCTCCCGAGGCCCCGGAGGCGACCCCTTCCCGGGCTATCCCAGGTGGAGACGAGCCCACGGGAAGCCCTGGGATTCCTGCCCACTGCCCGACACGGCGCTTCCAGTGACCTCTTCATCTTTAGAAAGAAAACTGCAGGATCTTCAAGTGGTTTTGGATGAACAAATTCTTTTGAATAACTTGTTTTTAGTCACACCCACCACCTGCAGACTACGGATTTTACCCTGACAATTCCCAAATATTCCCACTTTCTCTTCTAGACATTTGTGGAGATTAAAAATGGCTCAATTTTGACAAATCCATCCTTTTATTAAACGTTCTCTCCATGTCCCACATCTGTCATATTTGCAAATGTCATTCTTTGAGTTTTGAGATTTTCCAACTTTCTTCTCCAAGGTTTTTTTGACAATAACCTGAGTTGGTGGAGGATATGCCAACTACAGATGGAGAATGAAGGTACAACAATCGTGCTTTTAGGGGGTACATTTTCAATTTTGTTGTTGTTTTTGGTCGTGGTTTTGTTTGTTTGTCTTTTATTTTGTTTGGTTTTGTTTAAACTGAATTAAGAACCTGTTTCCTTTGCAATTCACAAAGTCTTTTCATTCTGGGTAACTCATTAAGTTTATGTGTTATGTCAAAAATAGATTGACACACCTATTGCACTCTTCTTCCCTCTCACATATCACTCCAATAGGAGCATTATCATTACATTTGCAAACTGTGAATGTGTTCTGACGACAATAAATCAGCGAAGCCTCATCACAAGCCAACATTTAGTCATCCAAATGCGAGAGCAACCTCAAGAAATATATTTTTTTATTTTATATAAATGTTTAGAGAGCTTTTGTAAAGCACCACATACTGAAGTGACTACTGCTGTTCTGCAGGAGGGGTTGTAAATGTTGAATTTTAAAGGCAATATTCTAGCCATGCACTCAGGATTTTTTTTTTTTTCCTATTTCTTCACTTAATAGTGCTGCTCACTACTGACCCTTTCTACCCTTTCACTGGGAAGTGGGAACATGGAACAGGCATCAGGAGAATTTTCAATTAAAACACGAGAGGCTCCAAGACAAAGGACTTCATGAAGAATATACTGCAGAAAATGAAGATTTCTTTAAGTGTAATGAGAGTAATGTTATTTTAGTGCTCCAGCTTAAAAAAAAAAAAAAAAAAAAAAAAAAAAAAAACCAACTAAACGTGCAGATATAAATATCAGCAAAGATACCTGATTTGTTAAGGCTGTGCAGTGCCACATAAATAATGCAAAGCACTTTGCAGCTGAGAATCTCCGTTGCCAAGGGAAGCACTTGGTAAGAGCTGTTGCAGCAGTTTCCATTCGGCTGCTCCGGTCAGGAACGGGCCCGGGATCCACAGGGAGGGGCCTCATCCCACTGCTCGGCCACGAGGAGTTTTAACGAGCCAGGCGGTTCCAGCCTTGTTAGGTCTCCTTCTGCACTCCAATGAACACGTTACTGTCAGTACAGACACATCAGGAAAATGGAGGGAGACAGCTGAAAAGTCAGAGAAAGGTTGTCTGCTAGTGAAGGCATGAGGAGGAAATTTGGAATAAATAGATTCAATTTCATCTCTGTCAGAAATTTCCTCTGACATCGTAAATAAAACATTTAACACCTTATCCCAGCTAGCAGAAGCCTTTTTTTTTTTGACTACAGTGAATTTTAATACAAACTCCACAGCTCATTGTGCCTCTGCTTCCTGTGTCTGGAATGGGAAAAATAACACTTCTTTTCCAAACATCCATGAAGCATTCTGATATTATAGTAATGGAAAGCATCTGTGCAGAAAAAAAACCCTGTTGTTTTTATAACAAAACCAGCTTGAATACCTTGGCATTGTTTATTCCATCCATTTCTCATACTCCTGGGAAAAATTCTCTTAATTTTCTTGCCTCCAAAGAGAATTTACTAATTCTGATAAGTTTGGTAAGTATAAATTTGCTAAGTTTTGTAAAATAATTGCATCAAATTAATCATAGTTGTAATGTTACTGTTGTCAGTGCATTTACCCTACAGTTACTTTTTAACCCTTTAAGCACCTACACCATTTGAGCTGCCATCTTTATAATCTTCATAAACTCTTTTCATTCAAATGATTTAAAAATTTTAAAATGTGCCCTTGGAAGGCAATGCAAATAAGGAAGGAAAAAAAAAATTATCACTTCTGTATGACATCTCTCTGTGCCACCTTTGTCATTTACAAGGTCTCTGGGCAATGTGCCAGCAATTTAGATATTTACAACACTCCCAAAGCCTTTTATTCACATTTTTGGCTGCATACTGGCAATGATAATATTAGTCAGCCTTAGCTAATGTTTTCTAGATATTTTTCCCCTACTTAGGTCAGAATTACAAACGTTCTTGCCAAATCTTCTTCCAGGAAACCAAATGTTCCAAAGCCTTTTTGGATCGCCAAAAAACCCCATTCTCCTAGAAATTAATGCAATTTGAGTTATACTGAAAAAAAAGAAAACCCCATCTGCACCACAATAGTGCTCACTTCCTTCTTGCCATTAGTGGAGCTCAAAATAGATTATGGAAGTGCTGAAAAGAACCCTTCAGGCACAAAGGACACTGAGAAAGCAGAAACACCCATAAACATCTTTAAAAACCAATTGGTTTCTTCTGCTGGTCTAACACAGGATTTCTTATTGCAATGTTATGCTAAAACATGAGAGTTCACGAACCAAGGCAGGAGTACCTAATGAAATGGTCAGATCGATATCTGCCACAGCAGAGTCTCCATTCAATCCAAAAGCAGCAAACAAAAAAAGAACACCCTCTTCTGTTTTATTTCACAGTGAGAGCAAAGTTAATTTGAGAAGGAATTGGGGGAAGACGCAGCTGGAGAGCAGAGTTACCAGCCTCAGGAAATTCAAGGAAATGTAATTGAGAACAAATTATCTCTTTAATTACTTTTGACCAAATCAATAAGAACCACGGAACAGAACACATGATGACTGCCACCTGGCAGAGGACAAAGAACACCCAAGTTGAAAAATTAACACAGAACTAAAATACAGCCGTGGTAAGACCAATCAGAGCACTTCTCTTACAGGAGAAAAAAAAGGAGGGTGAAGGATATTAGTTCAGCAAACAAACAGTGTATGCAGAAGTTAATGGTTGTTTTTGGCCACTGTTCACTGTTCTCAGCTGTGAAGACTGTTAACACTTTACTATGTTGTTCAGCTTTCAAGTTGTCCCATGATTACTCAGGAATCAGAAAGAAAGAATCCCCAAGACCTCCAGTTTCCTTCTGAACTTCCATGGCTTTTGTTTACTAAACACCAACACGGGAACTCTTTAGTATTTAAGTTTAAGGCACAGCACTTATTCTCGTCGGTGTGTTAATAAACCAGAGCGAGATCTTACCTCTCCTCTGGCTCCATTCCCAGATATGAGCAGTAACACTCTCACCCAGAGGTCACGGCTGGCTCTGGGTGTGATGGATGGGACAGAATCTTCTGGCAAGGCAGAGATGGAGGGACTGCAGGGGCTGCACTGCCATCCAGTAGCAGCACAGGCTCCAAGCCCATCTATCTGTAATAATTACACGGCCCCCATTACCACAGTAGTTTAGCAGTTCACCACCTTTAAGACATCAATCCTCACAACATTCTTTTCTTGTCCAGTAGTAGTGTGGTGTTATCCTCTTTGCATGTGTGAAGAATGAAGGTAGAACACAAGAGCCTTGTCCCTGGTCACGTACAGTGTGTACAGGAGGAGCAGGGTGCAGAAAGCAGGTCAGTGAACCAAAAGCTTTCATCTCGGTGTGGAAGCCCCAGATCCCCTCACACAGTCTGACTGAATGTTACAGCATTTGTCACTGTCACCAAAGAACGTGAAAGAAGGCAAATTGCTGAACCTCCTCCTCTCTCCTCAACCATGTCTTAGTTTAACATTCCACAACTGTTCTTCATGTGGCTGCTGAGCACTGAAGTTAAAGTGGATTTCAGACGTGCTGTCGACACCTTGCCCTCTGCCTTTTTCTCTTTCTTATCACAACTCCTCGTGGACCTTAAGATCTTCGGAGTTTCAGGCAGTTCCTTTAAAAGTCTTGGCACTTATATGTGAGCAGGACAATGTGTTCATTTTATGGGCTGAGTAAAAGAAATTTCACTCTGATGCGACCTCTGCTCGGATTTGTTCTTGGACTGAAGCAGGGTGGTCATTTTCCATCTCCAGAATTCTGCATCTCAATTCACAGCACATATGCTGGGATGGCTGGCTCAGGTGACCCGTTACTGAACTCCTCACAAGGTGTCTGACAGTGATCATCTGCTTTATCCCCCTCCACAGTACAGCTGGTTCAGCCAGAGATGAAATTCTATCATCCAGCTGACACTAAATTTTACAGCACCAAGGAAGTAGCATCAAGCTGGCCTGTAGCTAAGCACTTTTATAGGACTTTCTGCTTCTTCCTCCCAGGTCCCTATAGCCAGGAGGTGCTTCAGCTGGCCATGGCAAGAGTACTGCAAAATGCTCAGCTGGCTCAGGAGCCTGAGAGTAAGTACACTGTGTAATGATCTTCACACTGCCCTGTCTCTGGATGTTTCAGAGAAGTACAATTAAATCAGCAAAAACAGAGGCCTTAAAAACAAATTGTTTAAAAAGTTAAAGAAACTAGGCAGTTTAGGAAGATGATGTTTAAGTAGTAAAATGTCTTTTTGAGATACACTCTTTCCCTAAAAGTGACTAATTCTCACCTTGTACCTTAAACTCATGGACACTCCCCTTCCCACAGAGATCACTCCTGCAAATGGAGTGCCTTTATTGTCTAAAACCATGGTCACATTGGCCAGAATTCCAAAAGAATTCCCCTAGTATACATCTTACAGGTTTTGAATAGGTCTTATTAAAGTACAGACATGTCTAAAAAGTTATTTACTTTTTCAGTGAAACAGAGCTGACTTCTACGAAAAGTACCATCATTGGCCCAGAAAAACAAATATCTCAGAACTGTGAGCTACTTCCTATTTCACTGTCAGACACATAATGGAAAAAAATTCAAGTGCCAACACAATGCAGACAATGCAGTGAGATCTGTTATACAGCCTGAGGTAAAGGGAATGGGCTTTGCAGTCCTTTTTCCTGTAAGTTGCTGTCGCCCACTTAGCAAGGAAATGGATTTGGGGCCGAGACCATCACGGTCACTGCATCCATTCCCACAGAAACACACTCTCTGAGAGGTCCTGGGAGCAATCATGCACCACCCCACTGGTTTTGGCCATAAATAGAAATTCTGCATAATCAAGTGAGCATTTTTCATAAGACCTAAAAATCATTTTAAACCCCAACAACAAAGAAAAACACATTAAGAATACAGTATGACAGTCTTCCTGGAACAAATGTCTCAAACAACAGCTGGCCAAGTATGACAGATTCACATGGAAGAAAGAGCTGGCTGTGCTTTTTAACAGACATTATTTCAAACAAACTAGACCCCAGGACTCCCTTGAAAGAAAAAGTCTTTTTTAGTTGACGTAGGGACAGAAAAACTATTGGTAGAACAAACAGCTAATTATGGTTAAATTCACCTCTGGAAGGAACTGGGGATGCATAAGCAAGCCCAGCTTTGCCCTCTGAACAGAACACGCAGTGGGATCGGCCCCAAAGATTTCTACCTCAAGTTCTGAGACAACAGTTTCCTAAATTCTTTTAGAAAACCTCTTCCATGCAAGAAAGTTGAATTCAAAATTATCAGCTTTATGTGGGTGATTTTGCTTTACTGATGTCTCAGAAACCTGTCAGCTTATGTGAGTAAGGTTTATTAGCATCCATTGCACGCACTTGCATTGGAGTTTAAAAAAAATAAAGAAGGGGAAAGGGCTTAGAGAATTTTCCTGGTATTCAGCGTCAAAGTACAGGATGTTAAGTTCCTAATTACATGAGCTAGTTTTGTGACTACCCAGCACTTACTTCCAGGATGTCTCATCCCAATAAGATACACTTATTTTTTCCTACACAGGTAAAGCCAGCCAAAGTCTGACAGCCATCTGATGTGAACAATGATTTGGCAGAAACCTCATAGCTGACCAAGCTGTGAATAACTGGAATAGCCATGGTGATTTTTGCTTGTGTTTTTATACTCACAGGACACAAAAATAAGCCAATGATCTTTATCCTAGGCTTTATTTTGACCCTGGCATACTAAAAAAAATGGACATTACTGAACCATTTCCACAGTAAAGCTTTAAAAGGTCTCTTAGTAATGAACTTTCTTCCTGTGCTGAAGACTGAGGGTTTGCTATTCAGGATTGTGCAGAAGAGATCCACCTTGGACTTCTCCAATTACAGATCACTTGATTACCCAGAACTAATTTAAG